ATTTACGGAAAATTAACTAACGAACAGAGACGTAACACTATATTTATCATGGGAATATCCATAGTATAGTATTATCAACTTACGTTAGACTTCGTACTTCAAAAAAGGGGTTATAGGTAAATCATCAAAAACAAAGGGTTTTGAGAACTTATGTCACGTTTGTCACATACGTTGACTTTAAGATTTTATTAAAATATTTTATTAGCAAATTAAGACGTTAAAATTATATCATATAAAACTTTGGTTTGATACCAAGTTTGTTCATACAAGTCAATAATAATGAGGTTCCTTTTAATTTTGAATGTAAGTCGACAAAAGGTGATGACGTGCTCTGCACTGTAACCGAAGCGAGAGGGTTAAATTGACTTCCTCTTGATTGGTAGGATTCCGTCACTGTTAAAATAGCCAGGGTAGCATGATTTATATAGATGAGAAATACGCAGAGGAAATATATATATTCATACCTATACTGTACTGTTTTTTCATTAAGTAATTTCATTATTTTTTTGCCACAATAAGAATGAAAATGCTTGAATCGTTATATTTTTACTAACCTTCAACTGCAAAATTTTTATAGCTAGTGTTTCTAATTCTAAATATATAAACCTAGACTTCAGTTTGGTGTTCAAATATATATTGATGACGTAAAGATATCAAATATTTTTTTTCAGCTTAAAATCCCTTTCTAACTGAGGAATGTCTACACAATATAAGCATAAACCTGGTGCACAAAAAAAGAAAGTCAAGATCAGCCCAAAGCTTTCCATTCAGGGTCTGATGTCAGTAATTACCATGAAGTAATTACAAATAAATTGACTTAGCATGATGAAATGCCAAATGATACCAATATGAATGACAATCTCACAGCATATCCTGTTAGAGAAAAGCAAAGTGTCTATCTACAGCCAAATTTAATCACAACTGAAGGATCACTTTCAAAAAATGTTCCTGAAAAACCACAACAGCTCAGTGGTTTTAATGTTGGTATCTTAACTGATGAGAGTGTATCAGCTGAAAACCTTGAGCTAGCTGTTAGAGCTAGGCCTCTACAACAATAAAGATTTTCTTTTTCCAAGTTCTCTTCTAAAGTCTCTGCTGCAAAATGGTAAATACAGTAAACGTGACTGGCTAGTTTGCAGTACTATTTGGTAGGCTTTGTATTGTTTTCCCATGTCATCTTCTTGCAAAGACCCCAGTTGCATCATGCTCTACAATTACAACTGCAAAAGGCCGGAAGAAACTTTATGATAGGCTCCCAGAGCACAAGAGGTGTTCATCATAAGAAATGCCATACTGAGTGGCACGAACTTGAGAGACATTTTAGAGCAAACTCCTGTACTGATTTATAGCTTGAGAAGAATAGTCTTTCGAGAGAAGCCAAATGGAAGGATATCCTAAATAGGATTAAAGATGTTGTCCTTAACTGTGGAGCGGTGGGGAGATTTAGCCTTTTGTGAATCATCACAGAAGATTGGTGTGCATGATGAAGGTAATTTTTTGGAATTATCGAGCTGCTCAGTCATTACCATCTAGTTCTAAGGGAGCATGTAGAGAGTTGTAGAATATCAGCAAGCAGGTTACCATCTTCAAGCCCACTACTTGTCAGGTGAGTCCCATAAATAACTCATAGCAACCTGTGTTCAGCATGTATGTCACATCATTTTAGAGGAAAGACTTGCAGCAAAATACTTTACTATCATAGTAGATGCAACACCTGATTAATCTCATCAAGAACAGAGAACTTTTATCCTGAGATATATATCCATGCCATCAAAATGTTCTTCCTTTTTTATTCAAGAAAGATTTCTAAGAGTTATTGATTGCAACAAGAAAATTGGGTCCAATATTTGTAATCTAATACTTGATTGTTTAACTGATCACAAAATACCAATAATGGATTGCAGAACTCAACGATATGACAATGGGTCCAACATGGTTGGCGAGTACAATGCCGCTCAAGCTCTATTACTAAAAGTTAATCCCCTGGCTAAATTCTTACCATGTGCTTGTTATAGTCTCAATCTTTGTAGAGAAAGTTGCACAAGATGACAAACCCACTTATGTATTCAACCAGTTCTATCTTATTTTGCTATTAAATAACTGAAACATTTAAGTGCAATTGCATATTGCTTTCATATATTCACCATATTAAACAAACATGAAACTTGTTGTATGAGCATATTGTTTCTCTTTATTAATTTTATTCATTTATTTAACAAAATTATTTAGTCAGTGGTTTTGTGATTTCCTTTTAGGCAGTAATGTGGTTGTGTGTTATTGCATTTGTTAATTGTATGGTGATAGAATTAATTACTGATTCCTTAAAACGTTTTAGCCCATTTTCATCCCAGTAGTTTGTTGAAATGTTATTAATAGACTTTGAGATATATAGTTTGCTTGTTATGTGTACAATGAATAAAAAGCATCATAATAAAATACTGATTAAACATACCTTGTGTTATAAAATAAGCCTAAAGCTTCATAATTAATCATAAATTGCTGTATTTAATTAAGGCAAACTAGCAACTAACAAATCCACACTAATACTGCTCTTACAAAACCTCAAAATATATATACAAACTGTAAATTATATAACAAAAACACAGTAGGTTAGTAGGATACATATACCATGGTAAATCTATCAAGATATGTAATAGTACATGCTTTTAATCCAAGACTGAATAAATTATCCTATTAAAGAATCACAACTTTCAATTTTTTAACAGTTAGTTTATACATGCATATCTGTGTCCAGGGGACTGGAGGCTGCATATAACAATCCTTCCCTGCAACCCATGGTGTTACAGATTAAGTTTTTAAAAGATTATCTTAATAACTTACAAAGTTTGTATAAGTTGCATTTTGTTACAATAAATTCTGAAAAAAAAAAGGAACAGGTATCTATTGACTAAGTACATATGGAATGGAGAAAAAAAAAAAGGCAAATTTATAAAAATAACGACTGATTGACACTGACTATAGCTGTGCAGAAATACAGCTTATGATTGGCAACTTTGAAAAGTCAATTTTAAATTCAAGGATAACAGAAGACCGAGTTAATAACCCATCAATTGTTGACTGACATTATTTTTTTGAATATTAACTACACAGCAGCCGGGAGTACAATTTCTTGAGAAGATGCACATGTATATTACTCCCAGTTTTTAACTTCCTGTTATTTTAAGCACAATTCTTTTAAAATACTTATCAAGGCTTAGCAGTTACAAGGATCTTATACTGTTGAATATGTGATAATTTACTTTAACATGTTTTCAAAGATTTATATCTTGAACTTGAAAAATAAGAAAAAAAAGTTGAACTGCTATTGTTTGTTGAAAAGATAGTACAGATTATCACACAGCTTGCATACTACACATTCTTAATATATTTACATTTACAGTAGGGGGGAAGAATGATTTTTTTCTTCTAATTTACTAGGTTATAAGCAACTACAACACTGAATTTTAATGTCAATAAAGCAAACAGAATTAATATTTTTCTACCATTAGAAAGGGTTTAGTGGACAAGGTTTTACAAGGCATTGTTTTATTCTCACTTAATTTTTTCTGGAGAAAGTTTTGTGAGTTGAGCTTTAGTGTACAAGAAAGCATCTTATAAGTGTGACTCTGTTTACACCATATATTACAAGGGATTAATTTATCAAAGAAGAAACTGAAAGCTAAATCTTTCAATATTTTTATCAAAATGGTTTATTTAGCACTGCTTTTCATTATTTAAAAAATAAATCAAAGTGCCAAAAACAAAAAGGAGACCTAAACTTTAATCATTAAAAACTTTTTATGACAATATTTCTTTTAATAGTGTATGGCCTTCTTATTAGTCTGAAAAATATGTAGTTTCAATAAATATTAATAAGTTAGTGAACATATTCTAAACTACAGCTTATTACATGCATAATTATTATAAACTAATATACAAAATTAAAGATGCTTCAACATCTGACTTTCATATAAGATACATAACACAAATAGCAAACTGAATATTATGAAAGAATGTGTTTTTAAAACTTGCTAATCAACTAGGTAATATTGTCAATAATAATGTAAATGGCTACAAATGTACAAGTTTTACATGTTTTAAAAGATTTCTAATGTGAACTACAATCTATGCATATATAAGACATCAAAATGTGATGTTATTTACTAGTATGTACATACCCTGAAAGTACACATCTAAAAAGGTAAATTATGAATCTGTTTAGTTCACTGAATAATAACTTGCATGATGAAATGAATAACAGTAGAAACTTGTATTGAATAAAACATTATATAAGTGTTGGTAATCTTTCAGAAATTTCAGTAGTTATGGTTTAATTTTCATGGTCAAATACACATGTATGGTTTAAATATATTTACAAAAATAATGGTTTAGGTAAATAAATGCACAATGTAATTTTTCTTACTTCATAAATCTTGAATAATTAACAGCCTCTAAAAGTTCTTAAACTTAAGTAAAGATCCCTTAAGGCCTCATACTTTCTGACTTGAACAAAAATAATCAATTCACCCTTAAGAAAGCCAACTATGGGTTTATCCAATTTTCATGTTTCCTACTTTCAACAAACAGCTTCTTAAAAGCTATACAGAGTTACTAAATATAAACTTTATACTTTCATGGTCATAATTGCTGATTTGAAGTTAATAAAGCACTTGATTAAAAATCAATCACAGATTACATGGAACCTTAAATGAAAAAAACTATCAAAACTTAAGTATGCACTTAAAGATGCAATCCATATCATAGAACCTCTATAATAACAATGCTAAACATAACAAGTAGTAATTTAAAAAGAATAGTCACCCTATCATGTACTTTCATTAAAATGTTTAAGCCCATTGTGGTATAAGAAATTTTCTTTAAACAGTTTACAAACGAATTTTGCTGACAAAGCAAGATCTATATCTACTAAACAGGACAACTTAAATATTACAATAAGATGTATTATTCAGATGTTTTTTTAATAATGTATCATTACAGTTTTCAAAATAAACTTCAACTAGATGATTAATTTCCTTCTCTCAATAAAGCTACAACATATCAAGAACACCAAATATTGTGTTATTCTTGTAAACATTAAATATGTTCTAAAACAAAACTTCTTTGATGCATTGTTCAAATAAAAACTTCAGAGCTTTACTATTCCATTTTCACATGTAACATTCTGATCTTCCTTTTTCTCTGCATCAATTTTTTGTTTCATCTTTCCCTTCTCTCTTTTCTTTTTAATTTTACCTTTTTCTATAATCTCAGCTTGACTGTTTTCTTTCAGCTTGGAGTTAATAGGATCTAACTTTGTTTTCACAGAATCTTTTAGAAGTATTCGTTTGCTAAGAATTTCATAGCAGCGATCTTCTCCTGACATACTTGGTGATGCCTTATCAACTTGAAACCCTAGCAACTGCGTATAAAAGAAGAATGCTGATTCGTTATGTTTAAACACAGTCAACATTGTTTTCTTCAACTTGAACTCATGCCCAATTAAATGAATGATCTCCATTAGAAACTTCCCTACACCCCTACGTTGCATATCACTCTCTACTTGTATCTCATAACAATACACAACAGGCTTATCTTCTTCAACTTCAAATCGAAAATGTACAAATGCCTTCAGGTTATGATCTAAATCTCGAGCAATCACATACCAAGCTGCATCATTCCACAATTCATTCTGCTTTGCTGAAGGATTCCAACCCCATTCACTTTCTTCATAATACTTCTTCATGTTCTCTTCAGTAAGCTTAAATGCCCAATCCTTCACATCTTGGTCGAGATCTGTCACTCGCGACAAGGTGATGTTTAATTTCATTCCATTTCTTTCAAAAACTTTAAACCTTGAAAGATTATCTAAAGAGTCAACCTGCATCCTGTTTGCTTGACTAATGAGTAACTGGGCTTTACTAATGCGAGATTTGGCACTGTTTTTTCTCAAAGTAAGTCTGGGTCTTGCATTTTTCCTTCCCATATTTTTGGACCTTTAAGTTGAAGTCACTTCAAGGCATAAAATGAGTCAGAAATCAGATGTGCTTGCTATTTAGACATGTCTCATACTTGGATTTAGAAGCCATGTGAATTCAGCAAGACATCCCCATACTTCATATCAAGTTAACAAACTTTTATTTTCATACAGCATGCCTAGAAAACAAAGCAGAAGCTTAAAACTATCTGCAAGTTATCAAGAACACTTCATTAATCATGTTTAATTCTAGTAAAAATCTGTTACAGTTTCTTGTTAATTCTAATTATTTTATACTAATGCATCTAACAATATCTTCTTTCAACAATATTTTTATTAAAAGTACTTCATGCAGCATATCTATTATTAGAATTTTTTGTATTGTAACCCTTAAAAACTCTTTCCTAGCCTAGTTTCTCTGTAACACTGTATATACTGCCCAAGATGTTCCAAAAAATAATTTTCATTTACATCTGAATTGTTTCTTACCCATGTCTTGTGGGAAAATATTTACTCTCAGTGACATTTACCCTGTCTTAAACATGTGCTTATGTTTACATTTTTTATGATTAATGTAATCATCATTCAAAAGCAACACAGTAACAAATAAATTTTGATAGGATGACTTTTCCACAGCTGTGGTGTTTGCTACATGGTAGATGTCGAAAAGTGATGCCAAATTATTTTCACCACATCAATAAAATTTGCCAAAAATCAGAAATAATTTGCAAAATGTGAAATTGGTTATTGTCATCTTAAGTATTGTAGATGGGACATAAGTGTTAAGCTGTTTATTTATCTACATATGACAGCAGTTACAGGTATAACTATTTAACTTTTAATACAGGAGGGAAGAACTGTACATCCATGAACAAGTGATAAATATGTGAATGTAGTTACACTTTTGCAAACAGAAAAAAGTAATTAATTTTAATGCAAATAATCAAGTAGAAATTTTGAAAGAATGAGGTCCATGTCTTTAATAAAAAAACAATTTAGACAAGTCATAAAATGCAGCTAAAGAGAACTTTTATTGAATGTGGATCTTGTTAGAAAGCACAGAAAGTCTATAGGTAATATAAAATAACACTATGTAATAATAAAAGTATTCATTTCATATGAAATTTTGAAATCTAACATAAATTTAAAGTAGATACATCATATAGTATGAATCCATAATACACAATTCACAAGATTCATCTGAGGGGCATAAAAATACAATATCTTAATACTCTTATTTTATTATTGCACTTAAATTTAATATGCCACAGTTAGGTAGTGAATATGATGGTCAGAAGTGATCAAGTTCAATTAGTTGAGTGGATGTTATTACTTTAAGAGTATGAGCATTTGTAATAAAGGAAATTCAGAAATGATCATGTTTAATTTAACTGAATCAATAAATCACCAATATACTTAACTCCCAAGTACATGTGTGATGCATTAGGTGAAAAATATTTTAAAAAATTATTGACTCAAGAAAATGGAAATTTGCCAAAATATTGTAAGAAAAAGAAATCAGCACCTCAAAAAAAAAAGCCTTGATATATCAGGAAACCATCCTTATCTAAGAAGGATACTGATTTATTGAAGATAAGACAGTTTTACTCTTTAACAGGATGACTGGCTTATGGAATGAATTACCATCATCAGTAGTGGAGGCTGGTAATTTAGAAGAGTTTAAAAGGCAGAATTGATAATTTCATGAAAAATAAAGTGTGGGTGTTTAGGGATAGTCTTAAAAGACCTAATTGTCCCTCTTATGTCAACACATTATGCTAAAAATGCAACAGTTTATCCAAAATAACCCTAACAACTTGATGGGATTAGGAAAACCTAATGGGATTATATTAAAAAATTTGAATTATGTAGTTTGTCACAGGGGTTATATGACTCCTAAAATGTAATATACATCAATCGAAAGGGTTTGACCTCCTGAATCAAAAACTGTAATTATATCTCAAATCAGTCAAGAGATGACAGAGCTGCGAGTTAAAAATTTGTACTTCAAAAACTCAGCCATTCTATGAGCCAGTATGCCATGGCTAAAAATGACAAAGTATACATAAACTGTACCTTTATCGTTAACTAAAACAGAATAGTAATTATCATAAAAAGAACTTTCCTATAACTCAGTATCTTGGTAATTGAGACTTGAATTGTTAATAACAAACCTAACCAAGGCTTTAGATAAGTCTAAATTTATTTCCTCCCCCTGAAATTTTTCATTTCATTTTAACATTCAAATATTACAGTAGAACCTCGACATTAAGGACACCCTTTGAACTGCATCCAAGTGCCCTCTATAGCAAGGTGCCCTTAATATCTAAAATGAGCCATGCAAAGCTAGATTTCGTATTGACCGTACTAAATTTCCGAATTTTAAGCCCCACCCGTTTTTACTTGTTGTTTGCAGGACACGGGTGTTCATGAGTTGCCATGACATGGAGCATTGTCAACAGGTCTCAGGGAATGGATTAGCTGTGCCCTTTCTTCTTTATTATTGATCACAAAATTTAATAGTACTTCTCATCAGAGTTTGAAATGCTAAACATTTCACATACATTTTGTGTTTATTTTATTATCAAAGACTGAAGTAGAAATCAACTGAAAATAAAGCATAAATATATACTGTACAAGCATACAAAGATAACTGCCCACTTTATCGAGTGCCTGTATAGAGAATGAGACTAAAGACACTGCCCTTAATCTGGAATATCAAGGTACCCGTTACTGCAAGACATATTTTGGTTACAACTAGTAGGAAAAAGAAAAAGACTTAAAGGGTCTGTCCTTAATAGCACAGTGCTCGTTGTTTCGAGATGCCCATTAATTGAGGTTCTACTGTAAAGAACCTAAAACTATGTTATTTCAGTAATAGCAATGAAAAAATGTTCTCTTAAATTTTACAAATAATACTATTTGCAGAAACTGACTGGTAATTTCTTGAGTCATTTTTACTTATGGAGATAAGTGCAACAAAGGCTTTCAATGTCCAAAGTTACTCACAAAGGTAAAAACAGTTATAAAAGGAACTGACAGAGCTACTTCCCTAAAGAAATGCCTAGGTATGTATACTGTCAGATCTATTCACGGCGGTCTACTTAAGAGTAATTGAACCATTTGATTACTAACACAAGAACGTTACATACCCACAGCATAGTCCTTTGCACAAGTTCACATTTGTACCTTTAACATTGGTGCATTTTAGTCTATCACCTTATAATAAATGAAAGGTAATCATTTAATTTATTCATATATCACTTAGCATATATAATTCAAAAATTGAAAGACAAATGCTCAAATCACATTGCAGCATGGACCTGTTTAATATCCTGATAACAGGAGGATAAAGTTTGTTAAATGAAAACAAAACAACAACTATTACCCTTTTTGTTATAAACAAAAATGTTTTCTTTACATGTTTTATGGAAAAAGGTATTATTTGTAACTGAATTATTTGTAACAGAATAACGAGAAGACTGTTGTGTTGTCTTCCAAGAACTTAAATTCCAAAAAAATGTGGATTGCTATATACATACTGTACGTCCATCTAGTAGAAATGAAAGAATCATTATGTAATACTTGAAGAAAATTTTGCAGTATGTTTAATGGCACAAAATTTGTGTATTAATAACTCTTGAATTATTAAATACGTATAATTTCATAGACATTATGCAACAAAAATTACAAATCAGATAAATTATTTCAATTAAATGAGACCTTACTCTTGTTAATCTTACTGGTTGATTAAAATTCTCAAGTTTTATAAACATGCACCATGCAAAGTCAAATCATTACACATGATGTAATATCAGACCTATGTAGTATATTCTAAGTGGTTCAAAATCCCCCACAAGACTGATTTGTCAGCAAGAGCAATACTTTTGACTTAATCTAACAATTAAACTGGAAGAATATACCTTTAATTTATATTTGGACTGGTACTAGTACCTCAAGCATGACAAACTTTCCCTCTTTACAGATATGGCACTCTGTACAAAGATATGTAGCAAACTCTTTCATGATGTCAGCAAATTGTGTGTAAAATAATATCAATTTATTTTTCTCACAAGATGTTTGAGTCAGCTACCATGTGAAATTTGTAATAACTGTCAAGGAAAGAATGATTTATGACTAAGTTTTATATTCCTGTATAGAACAGATCAGCATAATAACTGACTGAGGCTACATACATACATACATACCCTTTGTGTATGTAGTCAAATAAGAGCAGTTACATGACAATTGATAAGGCAATTAATAATTTTGACTATATACACAACCATTTTAAAATCTTACATATTACAAGTTTAAGTTTACTCAGTTAAACCACATAGCCACATACACAATAATGTCTATTAGTGGTGTGTATAATCATGAAAACAAATTATGGAAAGGTAAACAAGTGGCCATTGTGTGTATAGTTGTTTGAACAATAGCTGCAAAACCATGTATATATTCCAATAAAAATAACTACACGACTATTTTATAAATACACAACTATTCTGAAACATTACATATTACTAGTTGCAACTAGGTAAGCTACATAATAACCTAACGTAACCAGGAAAATTTCATGCACATCATTATTTTGTGAAGTACAAGAACATGTCCAAATGTTAAAGTTTAAGTTAAGATCTTGCAACTTAACTGTTACACTTATTTTAGCAGTTCAATGTTCAGAGATAAAGTGCTATTAATATTTATTACTAAGCTTTGCAACTGCAACTTTTGTTTTTATTTGCTTTTAATAATGAATAATACCATCATCATCATGTTATTTTTAAAATACTACAACAAAACTTTTTAAAATTTTCTAAAACATGGCCTGTTAATATCATAACTTATATTTCAAACATTTGTAGTATACAGTAAAATTATTATTTCAAATCTCAGTGTTGTTAAACCATGCAAATATGTAACTTCACTAAAACTGTAACAATATTACTAATATAAATTATTAGTAATAAAAGCTTGATTAGATCTTACAATACATTATCATATCTCCAAGTTTAATGTTAAACTTACCAGATCGATAGCACATGATTTACGTTGATGAATGAGTCATATGGAGATACTGATAGTGAATTAGGAATACCAATGATAGTAATTTAAATAAGCTTGAAGTTGGTAGTAGTAATAGTATTTTTAGCAATATTATTATTAATAACAGGCCTACTCAGCACTTGAATTTTGAAAGTCCAAGACTCTAAATCCAATGACAAAATTTTGTAATACTAGAAATACTATTAATATTATAACTAACGCTAACTACTGCAGTACCGGTATTATTTAATTTAATATTACTAGTAGTAGCATTAGGGTAAAGAAAAACAAACAAACAAACACAAATTAAAATGGAGAAATATGTCCATAAATATTTAAATTTTATGCTAAGTTGAGTGAATGATATCAGATTAAAAAATACTTATAACAATATAGTGTTAATATAATTACCTTGTTAATATATATGATTAGAGCGTAAAATTGAAGTAAAGATCTCAACATCCAAATTTATATACATCCTATCTTCGGAGATCGGATTACATAAACGAAATATATTACGGAAATTTACCGTTGGTTAGATGGTTAAATAAAAATATTGAAATATATAAAAAAATCAGTAGCGTGAAAATAACAAATTTTAATCGGCGGCTCAGCAACTGTTCAATAGCGAATGTCATAGTTTTATTCGCTATCAGACATTTTCTCATAACCATATGCCATATAATAATAATTCTATTATTCTATAATGTTTTTACTCCAATTTTTGTGTGCCATAAACGTTATAGCTGAAACCTTTTTAAATTATAGGGTCTTAGCTGTGACAAGCGTCGACAGGAATGAATAATTTCAAACTAAGTGATGGGATCCCAATGTCTGAATTTTTATCATTAACAAGCAATCTGTTACTCATAGGCCGAAAATATGACTAATTTGGTAAGTGGTGGGGAAATTCGGAAGCCTACGAGTGAGATACATGGCAGTGTAGGACCTGAGCCAGGGATCATTTTGTTGTGCTGTTTTCTTTTATTCGAATACTCGTTAAGGTGTTTCCATCCTACCAAAGTGAACCACATGAATACTATAATTTTACTATTTTGTCATTATTTCAGGACTTCTCTCTCCTCTTATCCTTGTAACATTCTTACATTTGACTCAGAAAAAGTATTCGTATTCTCCGTTATTTGCATGAATCGTTCTCCTATTTCGCAACGTCGAGACTTGCATCATACCCAATTTTTTCTCTCGTTTTCTTCCCCATTTGGGGTAAGTCGTCGGATACATCAGTAAGCTTCCCATTCCTGTACACAGACGTACCTCTCTTGCGGCGATTGATAGTACCTCCTTCACCAAAGCTCTTCAGCAGCGTCATTTGTTCCTTTGTTCACTTCGTCCCAACTGAAATGTCCTGGACCGTGATAACGCCAAAGCCTGTTGGCATGCTCCACTTT